ATATCAGCCTTCTTCTTACCATCAAGATTAGCAAAATCATTAGTAGGCAAAGGCAATAAATCAATGGGGGTAAGGGGGTTGAATCCATATACAACTTCAAAAGCAGTCTTACCAGTAGAAGAATGGAAGGTCCTATTATAAGAAAATTCTACAATAGGTATGTAATTTTCCCAAGAAGTCAACTTTCCTTTCAAAACAACACTCAACATATTCCCTAAAATTCTATTAACCACTTCCGTTTGCCCGTCCGTTTGTGGGTGATAAGATGTAGAAAATAGCAATTTAGTTCCCAACTTTCCCCAAAGAATTCTCCAAAAGTGACTTAAGAACTTGGCATCCCTATCACTAACAATAGTTCTAGGTATTCCATGCAATTTAACCACTTCCTTCACAAACAAGTCAGCCACATGAGATGCATCATTAGTCTTTTTACATGGGATAAAACGAGCCATTTTAGAAAATCTATCTACTACTACAAATATACTATCTTTACCATACAGTCCTTGGCAGCCCCAATATGAAATCCAGCATAGAGGAACTTGATTTGGTCAAAACCCAACAACTTTGAAGTAAGAGTAGAGATCAAAACATACCTTCTTGAGAGTGCATCAGCAACCACATTCTCCTTTCCTTGTTTGTAAGCAATTACATAAGGAAAACTTGGCTATTCAATAAACTCTACCCATTTAGCATGCCTACGACTAAGTTTACCTTGGCTCTTCAAGTATTTTAATGACTCATGATCAGTCTTGACCACGAATTCTCGAGGCCACAAGTAGTGTTGCCATGTAGCTAACACCCTTACCAAGGCATATAGCTCCTTATCATAAGTTGAGTAGTTCAATGTTGCTCCACTTAGCTTTTCACTAAAGTAGGCAATTGGCTTGGAGTCTTGCATCAAAACTGCACCTATGCAACGACCAGAGGCATCACACTCAGCTTCAAAAGACTTAGAAAAATCAGGCAATTGCAAAAGAGGAGCAGAACACAATTTATCCTTCAGCAAGTGAAATGCATCCTCTTGTTCCTTTCCCTATGTAAAAACCTTATCTTTTTTAATAACTTCAGTTAAAGGAGCAGCAATGGTGCTAAAGTCTCGCACAAACCTCCTATAAAATCTAGCAAGTCCATGAAAACACCTAACTTCAGTTACACTATTAGGTTTAGACCATTCTTTTATTGCCTTGATTTTCTCATCATCTACTTCAACTCCCTTAGAACTGACCACAAAACCTAAGAAAACCACACGATCCACACAGAAAGTACACTTTTTGAGATTAGCAAATAAGTGCTGATTTCTAAGAACTTCAAAAACTTGTTTTAAGTGCTCTCGGTGTTCATCCAGATTTTGAGAAAAGATCAAGATGTCATCAAAATACACCACAATAAAATTTACATGGAAATCTTTAAAACCCTGATTCATTAGTCTCATAAAAGTGCTTGGTGCATTAGTCAAGCCAAAGGGCAAAACTAACCACTCATAAAGTCCATATTTGGTCTTAAAAGCAGTTTTCCATTCATCTCCAGGATTCATACGAATCTGATGGTAACCACTCCTTAGATCAATTTAGGAAAGATTTTGGAACCATACAGTTGGTCCAACATGTCATCAAGACGAGGGATAGGATGACAATACTTTACCGTTATCTTGTTGATGGCCCGACAAATACACACATCCTCCATGTTCCATCCTTTTTGGGGACCAATAGGACTGTAACAGAGCATGGGCTCATACTCTCTCGAAAAAATCCCTTTTCAAGCAATTCTTCAACTTGCCTTTGTAATTCTTTAGTCTCTTCAGGATTGCACCTATAGGAAGACCTATTAGGAAGTTGAGACCCAGGCACAAAATCTATTTGGTACTCAATCCCTCTCAAAGGTGGCAATCCCTTTGGAGTGTCATCAGGAAAAACATTTTCAAAATTCTGCAAAAGAGAAGAAACACTATTTGGTAAAGAAGGAGTTAGTTGTTCAAAAGTAATCAATACTTCTTTGTAAGTAAGTAATATTATGGGCAGCCCCTCTCTCCTAGCATTCAAACACTCTTTGGCTTTTATATAAAGGCTCTCATTTTTCTTTTCCGTAGCCTCTTTCCTCTCACCAAAACATTTTATTTTTTTAACTCACACCCTCTTTTACCTCTTTACTTAGATCGCTGCCCTCTCTCTCTTTCTCTCGGCGATCTCTCTTTTTTTCTATCTCTTTGCCTTTTTGTTTTCCCTCAAGCTCACTTTTTACCTGTCACGCCTCAGATCTGATTAAGACGGACAGGCACCCGATGTCTAAATGGCCCGGGAGAACCAACTTACAACCTGTACTTACCATACATTTAACTATGATAACTATGAAGCTATGACAAGCTTATATGCCCTGTAGTGATAAAAGACCGACATAGACAGGCCCAAAACTTATGTACAACACTTGGCCGTGGAGGCCACAATTGTTAAGAGACAAGACACAACCAAACTTTATATATTAGTCTACAAAGCCTCTACAAGATAGACAACCTTAGTTTAGGTCAGGACAAGGCCCCGCCTTACCCTTAACTACTATACGGTAACAAAATAGATGCCAAAGACTCGATTAAGCCCCGAATCAACTTGGAGCTCACCAATAGCAGCTGAGTGTCCTGTGCTCCTACTGGGGAGGTCTACTAACTGGAGTACCTGTGGCTGCAGCATGAAATGCAGCGTCCCCCGAGAGGGACGTCAGTACGAAGAATGTACTCAATATGTAAGGCAATAACATATGTAAAAAAGAGCTCAATTGAAATCAAGTATCAATAAGTAATTGCATAGATTAGATTAAAGACCACCCTTGTTGCTGTTGTGGAATCATGTACATTATATTCTTTTCTATAAATTTTCTTTACATTGCGATCTCTGTAAAGCATGTGATACAAATAACCAACTGATCAGTGGTAAAAGAGGATGACCCATGCTAGGCATTTTAACCTCTGAGATGTTGTCCTCAAATATATAAATTTGGGATCGACCCATGCTAGGCTTTTGCCCCTAGGCTGCCACCCTTATACACAAATTGAGATCGACCCATGCTAGCCTTTTGCCCCTGGGCTGCCACCCTTACACATATACCGCTTCATATAGTTTCTTTAATCTTTGAGATTGTTATTTTGGTGGTCATAATCATTTTTTAGCATCAGAACTGTGGATCAGTAGTAGGAAACATGTGAATATGCACTTAGGGCAATAACAATAACACAAGATAGAAATGTAACACTAATGAATTACATAAGAGCTCAAATGACACAATGGACCTCATTTGATTGACAGGAGGAATCAGCTACTGCTGAAATTACCCTTTTCTCATACCAATAATTGGAAAAGTAAAGATGCACATATATTGAAGCAATTCAACACACTAAGAGAGGGGAACTATTGTTAGCTGTGTTTGGAATTGTACGCTGCCACTATGTGTCTTTTACTTGAAAGAGCACTTAGGAAGCTCACTTGTTGGTAGTGACACAAGCAGAGTTCATGCCAAATAATATAGAATCGAATAGCCTTACATACCTTGTTGTACCACTCAGATAGTACAACGAATTAACCTCCTTCCTTTCCGATCATTAATCTACAATGAAATAAGTAACACAACTAATATTAGTAGCTAACCAACAGATTGGGTTACTTAAACTTGGCAAACAGTAATCAGGCAGCAAACCCATACTTATCAAACCGATGGTATGCATTCCACCCCTTCTCCTTTAATAACGTCATATACAATACGACCTTCTAATAAGGTCCCCTGAAACTCCTCGGGATTTATAACATATGCAAAACAGTATATAAAGGGGTTGCAGGCAGCAAGCTCTTACAACGCCCAATTAGATGGTACGTTACTGCACCTTTACCGTTTTATCCTTTAACAAGTTCTCATGACTTCTGCACATGCCTCCTTATGTTACTATACAATAATCAGTTTCTAAACATCAGAATGTGGTAGTAGCAATATGAACTCACGGTTTTCGACCACTGTCCCTTGAGCATCCAACTAACATTACATTTAAACTGATCAAATGGGCTAACAATTGAGTTAAATGGAACTCCCTTCTATGGCTGTCCCAACATGCACAATCAACCAGAACATTCCCGAATCTCACACTATGTAAAAGGAACAATTCTCAGCTTATTAACACATACCAAAATCCCCTAACCGATTCAAGCACAAAAGAGGGATGAAAAAATTAACATATGGCAGTAGCCTTACCTTAAGGTGAAATCAGTTCCTCCTCTTGAATTTCTTAAGATGGGAGATGTTACACCAACTTGTACTTGAAAAATAAATGGTTTTCTCAGATTTTTAATGCTGAACTTGCAGGCCAGCACTTTGGAGCTTCTAGGGTTTCTTTTTGGGAGTAAATTGCTGTAGAACAAGTGAGAGATATATGAAATGAATTTCATTCTCTTAAGGGTCCTTTATGGACGTTTTTACATTAAGAAAAATGTAGAAATATCTAGTCCCTTAATTTAAGTAAGCAGGTACATCACTCCTTTAATTTCTGCCACAAGTTCTTTAAGTAGCTGCATCACCTAGTTGCCCTTTTCTTTTAAATTGCAGTCCACATATTCCCTAAGTAGGCGCATCACCTACTTACCACTTATTTAAGTAGGTCAGCAGTTAATCTACCATTAAGAACCTATGTCATCCTTTCTACGTAAGCTACACATGTACGTGAGTAACTTAATTACGTAAGATATTCGAATCAGTAGCTTAAGCAAGTAGGTTGATTACTATGACAAATTATACTTTACTTACTCTATTTAGCCTCAAGCCTCTTTCGAATATTGTCAAACCTATTTCAAACCCTCACTACTCACATAGAACTAGTATATGCAAAATATGGGACGTTACATCCTCCCCTCCTTAGGAACATTCGTCCTCGAATGTTTGCCTAATTATTCAGCTCCAGTCAAGTTCAATCAAGCCTATGTTGAATTCTACTGTTAGCCACATAATACGCATAGACTTATACTTACTTGTTACTGTCTCAACTCAGCACTTTGACCCTTCTCCTCGGATTGAAATAAATGAGGATATTTGGACTTCATTGCTTCTTCCGCCTCCCATGTAACTTCTTCAACTTGTTGGTTTCTCCATAGTACTTTTACAGAAGCTACTTCTTTATTTCTTAGTTTCTTAAATTGTCGATCCAAAATTGTGATGGGTACTTCTTCGTAAGTAAGATCTTCTGTAACGTGTACATCTTCCGTAGGAGTGATACGAGATGGGTCGCCTATGCATTTTCGAAGCATTGAGACATGAAATACTGGATGGACTGTTGAGAGCTCTTGAGGTAGCTCTAACTCATACGCGACTTGACCAACTCTTCGAATAATTTTATACGGCCCTATATAGCGCGGACTCAGCTTCCCTTTTTTACCAAATCTCATTACCCCTTTCATTGGAGATACCTTCAAAAATACCCAATCTCCTATGAAAAATTCTAGTCCTCTCCTTCTATTATTTGCATATGATTTATGTCGGCTTTGAGCTGTTGCTAATCGTTGTTGTATCACCTTAACTTTTTCCATAGCTTGATGAACAAGATCTGGCCCAAATAAGGCAGTTTCGCCTGCTTCAAACCATCCGATCGGTGACCTGCACTTTCTCCCATATAACGCTTCATAAGGTGCCATTCTGATACTTGAATGGTAGTTGTTGTTGTAAGCAAACTCAATAAGCGGCAAATGATCATCCCAACTACCTTTGAAGTCTAATATACAAACTCGCAACATATCCTCAAGTGTTTGGATTGTACGTTCTGCCTGACCATCCATTTGAGGGTGAAAGGCTGTGTTTAAATTCACTTGCGTTCCCAAACTCTTCTGAAATGACTTCCAAAAGTTCGCGGTGAATTGAGCTCCTCTTTCAGATATAATAGAGATTGGCACTCCATGTAGCCGAACTATCTCTTTAATATACAACTTTGCATACTCTTCAACTGTATAAGTAGTCTTGACCGGTAAGAAGTGCGCTGCTTTGGTGAATCTATCAACAATCACCCATATGGAATCAAACTTCCGAAATGAGCGAGGCAAACCAGTGACAAAATCCATATTAATCATATCCCACTTCCAAATTGGAAGTTCTATACGCTGCATATAACCTTCATGCTTCTGGTGATCTACTTTAACTTGTTGACAATTTGGACATTGAACTACAAATTCTTCAATGCTCTTCTTCATGTTACCCCACCAATATACTTCTTTCAATTCAAGATACATTTTTGTTGATCCCGGATGGACAGAATATCTTGAATGATGTGCTTCCGTCATAATCCTCCTTCTTAGTCCATCTATGTTAGGTACACACAATCTGTTTTGGCATTGAAGTACTCCCTCTTCTGTAAGCTCAAATGCCTTTGTCATACCTTGTTGTACATTCTCCTTAAGCTGTAATAGGATAGGATCCGTGTACTGCTTCTCTTTTACCTCCGCTAAAAATGAGGATTCTGCAGCATTTTGCACAATAACTCCTTCATCTGGAGATTCAAGAAGGCGAACCCCCAAGCTAGCTAACTGACGTAGATCTTTAGTTATTTGATGCCTTCCTATGGAGTCGCTCATAAGTGCTTGCCATCATTTTACGACTTAAAGCATCAGCTACAACATTTGCCTTCCCGGGATGATACAAGATATCAATGTCATAATCTTTTAATAACTCAAGCCACCTTCGTTGCCTCAAATTCAGATCCTTTTGCTTAAAGATGTATTGCAAACTCTTGTGATCAGTATATATATCAACGTGAACACCATACAAGTAGTGGCGCCATATCTTCAAAGCAAACACAACTGCTGCTAGCTCTATATCATGGGTTGGATAGTTTTTCTCATGTGACCGCAACTGCCTTGAGGCATAAGCTATCACCTTACCATGCTGCATCAACACACATCCTAAGCCCACTCACGATGCATCACAATACACTACGTACCCTTCCGTGCCTTCTGGAAGTACCAATACAGGTGTAGAAGTGAATTTATTCTTCAGTTCTTGGAAACTTTTTTCACATGCATCGCTCCACTGGAACTTGACTTCTTTTTGTGTTAGTTTTGTTAATGGTGCGGAAATAGAAGCAAATCCTTCAACAAACCTTCTATAATAACCTGCCAGCCCAAGGAAACTACGAACCTCCGTAGGTGTTGCAGGTCTTGGCCAGTTCTTCACAGCTTCTATCTTTTGGGTATCAACCCTTACTACTTCATCAGATACAATATGACCCAAAAATGCCACAGATCTTAACCAAAACTCACATTTAGAGAACTTTGCGTACAACTTTCGATCACGAAGAATCTGTAGCACCTGCCGCAAGTGATTAGCATGGTCCTCTTCAGATCTTGAATACACCATAATGTCATCTATAAATACTATCACGAACACATCCAAAAATGGTTTGAACACCCTATTCATCAAATCCATAAAAGCTGCTGGTGCATTTGTTAGCCCGAATGACATAACTAAAAACTCGAAATGACCATACCATGTTCGAAAAGCCGTCTTGGGTATATCTTGATCTCTGACCCTCACTTGGTGATAACCCGACCTCAAGTCAATTTTTGAAAAGCACTTAGCACCCTGTAACTGATCAAACAAATCATCAATTCTTGGGATGGGATATTTGTTCTTAATCGTTACCTTATTCAATTGTCGGTAATCAATACACATTCTCAATGAGCCTTCTTTCTTGCATACAAATAAAACTGGTGCTCCCCAAGGGGACATACTAGGCCTTATGAATCCTTTTTCTAACAAATCATTTAATTGTTCGTTCAACTCCCGTAATTTTGCCGGGGCCATTCTATATGGAGGAATGGAGATAGGTTGAGTATCTGGAATTATATCAATACCAAACTCTACTTCTCGTTCTGGAGGCAAACCTGGAAGATCTTCAGGAAATACTTCAGTAAATTCATTTACCACCGGAACAGATTGAAGAGTTGGTGGATCTGCATCTATATTTCTTACTCTTACTGTATGGCATATGTAGCCTTTGGACATCATCTTCTTCGCCTTAAAATAAGAAATAAATTTACCTCTTGGCGCCCCAATATTACCTTTCCATTCAAGGACTGCCTCTTTTGGAAAATGGAAATGCACCATCTTAGTTCGGCATTCTATTGTAGCATAACAAGAAGCTAACCAATCCATACCGATTATGACATCAAAATCAACCATTTCTAGTTCAACATGGTCAGCTAATGTATTACGACCACAAACAGTTACTATGCACTTTCGATAAACTCTTCTAACTATAATAGATTCACCAATCGGTGTAGACACTTCAATTGGTTTAACCAATAATTCTGGTGTTCTTTTGAACTTTGCAGCAATCAATGGAGTGACATATGATAGTGTAGACCCCGGATCAATTAATGCATATACAATATGTGAAAAGATGGATAATGTACCTGTAACCACATCCGGTGAAGCCTCCAAATTTTGTCGATTCCCTAGGGCATACGTGCGATTCTGAACTCCACTAAAACTAGTTGCCCCTCTAACACCTCTACCATGACCTGCAGGCATTTGTGCACCCCTGCCTAAAGAAGGAACTGATGAAGACGATGCAGCAATCGATCCAGCAGGTTGTGCCATACCACCCATGCCCCTTTGAGGGCAATTTCTCATCATGTGTCCCGGTGTACCACACCAAAAACAAGCATCTGTACCAAACCTATATATGCCTAGGTGATTTTTCCCGCATTGTATACAAAGTTGTCGAGGACGTCTTGATTGGCTCATAATTCCTTGCTCGTGGTGCCCCGCTGTTCTTGAGCTTTGGCTTTCACCTCTTTGCCCAAACTGATCGCCCCTAGACCCTCGGGGTGGAGCACTAGCTGTAGAGTAGGAAAATGATGGCCTAGGCGGTCTATTAAAAAACCGAGGCTCAAACTCACCTTGAGATTGGGTAAACTGCCCCGTAGATTTGGCCTTCTTGGACTGCCCTCTTTCCGACTCTTGTGCCCTTCTTCTTTGCCTTTGATCCTCCAACTTTTGTGCAAAAGCTTGCATCCTCGCTATATCCATGTCTTTATTCAATGAAGCAATGGTACAATCTCTAACCAAATATGAATCTAATATGTCCACATATCGATGAACTATATCCTCCATAGTAGACACTACATTAGGAGCATACCTGGATAAAGAATTAAACTTGAGACTGTACTCCCTCACGCTCATATTCCCTTGGTGGAGATTTAAAAACTGATCAGCACGGGCCTCTCGGATCTCCAATGGCAGATAATGGTCAAGAAATGTCTTTTTGAACTATTTCCAACTAGCTAAAGGTCCATCTGTAACCGTTGATTGCTTCCATGCTTCATACCACAATATAGCCATACCCCTGATTCTATATGTTGCTAGCTCAACTGCTTCTTTACCACTTACATGCTTAACATCCAAAGTTCGTTGAATCTGATCAATAAAGTCTTGCGGATCTTCTTTAGGATCTGACCCGGTGAATAATGGTGGGTCCAAATTAAGAAAATCACGTATCCGCGTACTAGCAGCCATAGCTGCACCACTCGTACCTGCAATTGGACCTTCTTGCCTTTGCCCTTGGCCAGCAACTATACGAGTCAATAATTGGACTGCATTCTTTAAATCTTGCTCAGTAGTATTAATAGGGGGTTCTCGAGGTGCTGCTTCCCTCCTTAAATCATCTGGAGATGGAGGAGTCGGGGAAGTCTATGATAGAGACTCATTTTGAGCCTCACTTCGATCAGCTTGTCTAGGTAATGAGTGGCTACTCCCTTCTCCGGCAGCCACATCTATTTGCTTGCCTGTATTTTTACTCCTCGTAACCGGCATTTTTGCTATAATAAACCAATTTAGAGGTTAGATCTAATCCACCTACAATATGGCTCTATCGCACAATCTAGAAGATGAAACAACAGAAACAACTCCTACATGTCCCGTAGCCTCCTGTTTATAGATGTGGTGCACAACACATCCATAAGCAAGACTCTACATAGACAAGGCTTTGTAGACTCCCTAGGATGACCTGCTCTGATACCACTTTTGTCACGCCTCAGATCTGATTAAGACGGACAGGCACCCGATGTCTAGATGGCCCGGGAGAACTAACTTACAACCTGTACTTACCATACATTTAACTATGATAACTATGAAGCTATGACAAGCTTATATGCCCTGTAATGATAAAAGACCGACATAGACAGGCCCAAAACTTATGTACAACACTTGGCCGTGGAGGCCACAATTGTTAAGAGACAAGACACAACCAAACTTTATATATTAGTCTACAAAGCCTCTACAAGATAGACAACCTTAGTTTAGGTCGGGAAAAGGCCCCGCCTTACCCTTAACTACTATACGGTAACAAAATAGATGCCAAAGACTCGATTAAGCCCCGAATCAACTTGGAGCTCACCAATAGCAGCTGAGTGTCCTGTGCTCCTACTGGGGAGGTGACACTAACTGGAGTACCTGTGGCTGCAGCATGAAATGCAGCGTCCCTCGAGAGGGACGTAAGTACGAAGAATGTACTCAATATGTAAGGCAATAACATATGTATACAAGAGATCAATTGAAATCAAGTATCAATATATAACTGCATATATTAGATTAAAGACCACCCTTGTTGCTGTTGTGGGATCATGTACATTATATTCTTTTCTGTAAATTTTCTTTACATTGCGATCTCTGTAAAGCATGTGATACAAATAACCAACTGATCAGTGGTAAAAGAGGATGACCCATGCTAGGCATTTTAACCCCTGAGATGTTGTCCGCAAATATATAAATTTGGGATCGACCCATGCTAGGCTTTCGCCCCTAGGCTGCCACCCTTATACACAAATTGAGATCGACCCATGCTAGGCTTTTGCCCCTGGGCTGCCACCCTTACACATATACCGCTTCATATAGTTTCTTTAATCTTTGAGATTGTTATTTTGGTGGTCATAATCATTTTTTAGCATCAGAACTGTGGATCAGTAGTAGGAAACATGTGAATATGCACTTAGGGCAATATCAATAACACAAGATAGAAATGTAACACTAATGAATTACATAAGAGCTCAAATGACACAATGGACCTCATTTGATTGACAGGAGGAATCAGCTACTGCTGAAATTACCCTTTTCTCATACCAATAATTGGAAAAGTAAAGATGCACATATATTGAAGCAATTCAACACACTAAGAGAGGGGAACTATTGTTAGCTGTGTTTGGGATTGTACGCTGCCACTATGTGTCTTTTACTTGAAAGAGCACTTAGGAAGCTCACTTGTTGGTAGTGACACAAGCAGAGTTCATGCCAAATAATATAGAATCGAGTAGCCTTACATACCTTGTTGTACCACTCAGATAGTACAACGAATTAACCTCATTCCTTTCCGATTATTAATCTACAATGAAATAAGTAACACAACTAATATTAGTAGTTAACCAACAGATTGGGTTACTTAAACTTGGCAAACTGTAATCAGGCAGCAAACCCATACTTATCAAACCGATGGTATGCATTCCACCCCTTCTCCTTTAATAACGTCATATACAATACGACCTTCTAATAAGGTCCCCTGAAACTCCTCGGGAATTATAACATATGCAAAAAAATATATAAAGGGGTTGCAAGCAGCAAGCTCATGCAACGCCCAATTAGATGGTACGTTACTGCACCCTTTACCGTTTTATCCTTTAACAAGTTCTCATGACTTCTGCACATGCCTCCTTATTGTATACAGAAATCAATTTCTAAACATCAGAATGTGGCAGTAGCAATATGAACTCACGGTTTCCGACATGCACAATCAACCAAAACATTCCCCAATCTCACACCATGTAAAAGGAACAATTCTCAGCTTATTAACACATACCAATTCCCCTAACCGATTCAAGCACAAAAGAGGGATGAAAAAATTAACATATGGCAGTAGCCTTACCTTAAGGTGAAATCAGTTCCTCCTCTTGAATTTCTTAAGATGGGAGATGTTACACCAACTTGTACTTGAAAAATAAAGGGTTTTCTCGAATTTTTAATGGTGAACTTGCAGGCCAGCACTTTGGAGCTTCTAGGGTTTCTTTTTGGGAGTAAATTGTTGTTGAACAAGTGAGAGATATATGAAATGAATTTCATTCTCTTAAGGGTCCTTTATGGACGTTTTTACATTCAGAAAAATGTAAAAATATCTAGACCCTTACTTTAAGTAAGCAGGTACATCACTCCTTTAATTTCTGCCACAAGTTCTTTAAGTAGCTGCATCACCTAGTTGCCCTTTTCTTTTAAATTGCAGTCCACATATTCCCTAAGTAGGTGCATCACCTACTTACCACTTATTTAAGTAGGTCAACAGTTAATCTACCATTAAGAACCGATGTCATCCTTTCTACGTAAGCTACACATGTACGTGAGTAACTTAATTACGTAAGATATCTGAATCAGTAGCTTAAGCAAGTAGGTTGATTACTATGACAAATTATACTTTACTTACTCTATTTAGCCTCAAGCCTCTTTCGAATATTGTAAAACCTATTTCAAACCCTCACTACTCACATAGAACTAGTATATGCAAAATATGGGACGTTACATTACCTCTCCCTTTTGTTTTCCCATTGTTTCCCTCAATCGTTTTTGATCTTCAAACACTTGAGAAGGAGATAATGGTGCAAGAGTATTCTTCTTACCATTATGCAGAAGACTATACCTATTCTTTCTGCCATGATGAGTAGTATCCCTATCATACTGCCAAGGTCGGCCAAGTAAAACATGACATGCTTGCTTTGGAACTACATCACAACGAATTTCATCTTCATACCTACCAACATTGAATGAAATCATGCATTGTTTGTTTACTTTTACTTTTCCACAATCATTCAACCATTGGAGCCTATATGGGGTAGAGCGCTTCATGCATGCAATTCCTAGTTTATCCACTAAGTATGAACTCGCCACATTTGCACAACTTCCCCCATCAATAATCATAGAATAAGTCTTCTCTTTTATCCCACACCAAGTATGAAACAAATTTTCTCTCTGCCCTTCATCACCACTACCCAAATTGATAGTCATAATTCTCCTAACCACCCCAATTATACCATCATTAGGCAGATCCAAATCATCTTCCTCACTTACACCTTCTTCCTCTTCTTCTTCCCCCTCACTTTTTTCACTCTCATATTCTCCATTCTCTCTAAGTAGGATGTTTCTTCTACTTAGACATTCAGCCAAACCCTAGAAAGACAATTACAAGGAATCCTACTCTAGAAAGGAAATAAAGTAACCTAACTAGGAACAAATTTAGTACTTCTAGGAAAGCATTAAATGGTACTTAGGAGACCATAAATAGACTAAGGAAAATATTAATAACCTATATATAAATAAATAAATAAGGTAAATCCCAACTAGGAAAAGAATCTTGACAATCTTGGAAAGTTTGACTAGTCTTCTCTTAAAACTTTGGGAGAAAACAACTCTTGTTGTGGTTGATTGTTGGACTCTTCTTTACCTTATTAGCACGAAATTGGACCTTAAAATTCCTCATCTTGGACTTGAATTTGGGCCACCAAATAATTGTAGCATTTGGACAATTCCTCTCCCTTGGCTTGAGCTCTTCTTCCCCAATAAGACACCTTTGGATTAGTGATTGAAGCCCGTTGAGCTTATCATTGAAATCGTTGGTTTGAGATCTTGTTATGGGCCTCCTTGGAGTTTCTAAAGCTTCATCCTTGTCTTTCAATGGAGTGGAGCTTCCTTGGATGCTATCACTTATGTACATCAAGCAGCTCAAAAGGTCAAACTAGGTGATTCACTTACTTGCTTTCACTTGGGCTTAAATATTGGACCTTGACAGATCTGGCTGCTCGACTTTCATTTCATTTTGTTTTATTTAACATAGTTTGGGCTTCAAGTGAGTCCATTAACATAGGCCCAAATCTAATCTATAAATCTGGCCTTTTTAACTAGATCCATATAGTTCAATTAGGTGATTCACCTACTTGGTTCTTTAGACTTGTCAATAAGTCAAAGTAGGTGATGCACCTACTTGTCACCTACTAGCTTAGTTAAGTCAAGCAAGCAACTTACCTATTTTAATCCATTTTCTAATTATTAATCTCTCTTTCTTTAACTTAGCACTTAACTTT